TTTTAAAAAGCAGTTTATCTCTAGATTTTAATTGCTATTAATTATTGTTTGCTTTCTTTTCAGTAGTGAATAAAGCTCTCTCTCTCTCTCTCTCTCTCTCTCTCTCTCTACATTCTCTTTCCAATGAACTACTTATCAAAACTCTACGGTTAATAATTTTGCAGAAAACTGTTTTTACGCCAAAATTGCAAATTATAGACTTCACTGATAGAAACATTGCATTTCGGTCGAGACTTTAATGTATAATAATTTCATTAGAAAAGTCATTATAAATATAAATATTAATATTTTAATCGTTTGAAAGAACAGCTGAGAATTTTTGTATTATTTAATGTTATTATTATATGAATAAATAAATGTCATGTAAATACTGTTATGCTTTTATTAATGGCCAGATATAGCGCATAATTTAGTTGATATGCAATTAATTCGTATACGAAATGCAGTTTATTATAAATAAAATTTTTATATAATATTAGTTATAAATTGCTATAAAATTTAACGATATATAAATCAGACAAAAATATATGTGTGTTTATAAGTAAAAACAAATAGTAATAAACCGTTGTCTGGATTTACGGTAAATTAGTTGTGAATAAATAATATAAAAATTCCGATAATTTAAGCAAATATTTACAAAATTCCAGATTAATGTTAATTAAATACGAAACAAGAAATGATTAAATTTAAAGGTTATTTTGATAATTAATACAATTCCTGATTATAAAAAACAACATTAAAAGTGAAGATCTAATCAATAAAATAATTATCTCGTCATAAAAAAACTTTAAAAAGTTATTTACATTTATAATTAAATCGTCAGCAAATTATAACGTTTAATATACAGCACATTATTATACAACGATTTAAATTACTGGTGAACCGACTCTTCCCCTCCTTATTCTTGTATAAATATTCTTCAAGTATTTAATCGTTAGTTAAGACAACAATTTTGTTGNTACAACGATTTAAATTACTGGTGAACCGACTCTTCCCCTCCTTATTCTTGTATAAATATTCTTCAAGTATTTAATCGTTAGTTAAGACAACAATTTTGTTGTGAATGAAATATACAGACAGTGAGAGAGCATAAAAAGTGAGATATACTGTAGAGCATATAATGCCAGAAAAGTGGGGAAATTGTTTTTAATGAAACGTATATATTGAATCATCAAGGTATTTTGGCAAAATTAATATACACTATATGTGAATAACATATGAATAGTATATGAATAACGTTAAGCTATTTTTCATAAGAGGAGCTTAAAGAGGAGCCCATGGCATTTGATGTAATAGAGTGAATTCAAAACCCCTTCTCTTCTGAGACCTTTATTATTCAACGCATATAACATTATACTATTCATTGGTCAAAACTGACCGCTACCCCAACTGTGGCCACACAAAAATCGATGATTTACCCGATTGGCGGCCTGTGTTCGGTTGGTTCGCAATTGATTCGCAAAAACCAAGGTGTTTATTTTCAATTGCGATAGTTTAAGTAAATAATTTAATGTAACATTTTTGATTAAATAAATATTTATTATTGAAATAGAGGTACCGATTGATAAGTACGACACGATTGTTGATAAACGTGGTAATTGCCAAAAAAGTAATGTTCGTTTGTTGGGCGTAAATAATCCGCCACTTATCGATAAATTGACCATGCTTGATTCACAATTTATTGGCAAAGATAATGAAAATACTCACGTAATATATTCGTGCCTTGAGGGTAAATTTGTACATAACTTTAATTACGTATATGTCATAATTACTATATTTTACTTTATTTGTAAATATATAAAATAATTTTTTAACCAGGTTACCCCATGTGGTATTATTCTGATAAAGAGCATGGTCAAATTGGTTGCGTTAGTAAATTCGGTCAAACACTGAGTCATACAATAGCGCAGTACTCGGCGTATAAAAGTCTGATTGAGATGTTTGTTATGGTTTGTGTTGTTTTCAGTGTTTATATATTTTATTCAATTTTACAATTAATTTGTTTGTATTTTTTTCAGACACTAAACCGTATGGAAGAGGAGTTAATGGACAGCGAATATAAACAAAGGCCTGAAATTGAATTGTTTGGAGTTCCCAAAGAACTTTATTTTAACCCTGGTCTGTTGCAATAATTAACGAGTGTATCAATTAATTGCAATAGGATTTACTCAATCTTTAAATATAACATTTATTTCTATTAATAATAGTCTATTATCTGAACACAAGTGATTTGTTATTATAAAGATTTAGATTTATGTGATTCATTGTAATTTAAAAATTATAAAAGTTTTAAACTAATAAATGTTTTAATTACGAGAGAGAGAGAGAGAGAGAGAAATTTAATGCAAATTATATATTATTTATTATATTTATTGTTCGTCTCTAACCGACAAACCCTGTATTCAATTATATATTGTTGTAATTGTAAATAAGTGTAATTATATTTTATAATTATTTATAATATTTCTAAAAATTATAATTTAGCAAGGATATGCTTAAAAATTACAACCATATTGGATCAAAATCCGTGTTTTAAAATAATAAACAACATGATTGTACAATATATGGATGGCAACATTCTATAATTTAGCATATTCATGAATCATGATGATTATTTAGATAATGTGTATATACAATATTGTTATTGTTACAGTATGTGTTATTTTTTCAGATATCATATGTTCACACTGATTCATTACATTACATAAACAAGAACATTTACGACTGTTATATTAATTGTGCTTATATAATTTTTAACACAAATAATTTTTAAACATTAATATATTCAACCAATAAAAATAATGTCACAAAATAAACTGACGGTACTATTCATAACATGGACTGACATCGAGAGAGTTGAGTCGGCCATAGCTATGGGCGAGACTCTGGTCGGCGCCGACGGCAGACATCGGGCGATCATTTTTACAGACTATAAACTGCGGGACAAACTGTACGCAAATCACCCGACAATCAATTGGATCGTAACCGACATCAGCGACGACGAGAGCGAAGATCCGGACAATGAAACAAACAGGTATTACGGGGCGGGACTGTCAACGGGTGGACAACAGGTGTTGACCCAAAGGGACCACAAATTAGATGCTTTTGTAGAGCGAGCTCTCATTGACATCCGGCCAGACTTTATATTCGTCGACTCGCGGCTAGACTTGCCATCAGTCGCGCGGTCAGGCGTGCCCTGGATTGTGGTCAACGCATCTCAGCCATTGTCGCCCACCGTCGATGAAAAACTCACTCAATCCGTTTGCGTAGGTATACATGCTATACAAGGTTGGTTACTCTAGTGACTAATTACATGGACATTTATTGTATTAAACATATTAAATTTATGTGATATATAAATATTACAGAGGTTGAGGTACGGGAAGGCCTAAGCGTTGGGATCACTATCCCCTGTATTGATGATAAAGATTTGTTAGACAAGTTGACAGAAATCGGGATATTGGAAGATATTGATAAGTTTCCCAAATTGATTAAACACATTGTATGTAGTTAATTTTTTTTCATCTAGTTAAAATTTAATGTAAAGTAAATTATAACTATATATAAGGTTCATCGTTTCCCTCCAATATCTTATATCTTCCCGGAAAATAAGGAATCTTCCTTACTTCCCTTATCTTCCTCAAAAATGGGAAAATAAGACATAAATTGTGG